GGGCATTCCAGTGAATCGATAACGTCTAAACGGAGAACTAAATGTGCAGAGTTTCCATTTAGGTCACGAGGATCAATGCAAATCCTGATCTTTCCATTTGGCTCCGTAACAGTTACCATGGAGTTGACCCATCTCGTCGACTCGTGTTGCTTCACAATCACTCCTTCACGCTCCATTCTGTCGAGCTCTTCCTTGATCTTATCCCTCAAGGCTATTGGAATCATTCTTGGGGGATGTATCACTGGCTAAATGTTTTCATCCACCGTGATTTCGTAGGTGCCTGGTAAACATCCAAGTCCACTGGATATGTCCTGATAATCCTGGGGAATGCCATGTGGTACCGCTCTGTTTTTCCTCTCAATGCTGTGTATTCGCTGAATGAGTCCTAGCTTGGAACATGTGTCATCTCCCAGAACAGGATTCATCGCAGCAATGTTAAGGCTTCTCTAAGCTTTAAAATGCATTCAAAACATAAATGTAGCATTTCGAGGTTAGTTCTGACTTTTATTTGTAAGATATGTACCTAAGAACAGCCAAATTAGATTGAGGGTTTTCTCGGATATATATAAACATGGTTGGTAAGATATCACATGACTTTGTTGATCACATGACAGTCATTTATATTTTTTTGAAGTTTTTCAAATAAATCGCTTCGGCACAGCCGATTAACACAATTTTTATAAACATTTTGTCATATAAATAAACATGTCATATCCTTGTGTTCCCGAAACGTGCTTGGGAAAAGTGAAAGCATTACTTGAGTTCAGGATATTTCATGAGAAATTTAACTTACCGACACATTCGAGGGTATTTTCCACTCACTATCGTAATTTGTATTAAAATAAAGCCATCCCAAATTTTTCCCAAGCAAGATTCAGATAGAGAACAAACTCCTTTAACAAATTTCCGCAGAAGATCTCAAATTAATCTTCATTAATCACCTGCGCTAGGCTCTTTTATCCACACATCGTAAATTTCAGCTAGAACTATGGGTGCAAAACAGAGTACATTTCAAAAGTATATTTTTAAAAGCGTTTTCAACTAGCTGAATTTCAATCAAGGATAACTGAGTAAAGAACTGAAATGTTCGGATATACAATATTTAAAATACAATTAAGACACGTGAATTTCACAATAAGGTTCTAAAATATTACATGCAATTTAAAATAATGTGCAAAGTTTATGACACTCTCCGAGTCATAACAAATCAAGTTCGCAGTGGCTTGACGTCATTTTCCATTATGACGTCCTATATTTGTAGTTCAGAGAAGTGACAGCACAGAGTGTACAGCGAGACTCTGTAGGAAACAATAATGTAGAATTTCACATATGGCAGCATTGCATCCTTCTGTAGTGGTCTTGGAGGTACCGGGCATGGATTGCCTTGCTACCTCCGATCACGTGGTACGTCGCGCACCTGTTGTGATGTGTACCCACACTCTGTATCAGACGCATATTCTGTAGGTCTCATTTGTGTTGATATATAGTCGACGGTTTGCTAAGTAATAAAGTGCTAATTTTACTTTATAGTATTTTCCCTGTTTTCCGCCATCACAGTAGCATATGTAAAGTCTAGAGAAATACAATATTTCTATACACAGGGTAGTATAACAGTACCAGCACAACAAATATAGTGTCCATAGAATGACTTCAGTGGTGAAAAGGTTGGAGCAACTTTCAGGGTTTTTTTTTTCCTATTTTCTTGAGATCAGCTGATGACAAAACATTACACTTTGCTCCGGTGTCAAGTTGGAACTGAATATTAGTGTCCTTCACCTTCACTGTTTCATACCATTCTGCATCATGATTTTCACCATTAAAATTCACTAAACCAATAAAGAATTCTTCTTCTGATGTTTCTACAGCATGTATAGTGTTTAATCTATTGGGTTTTTTTTCTTTGAACTAGCACAAGCACGCTTTTTTTTCGGTGTGTGACATTTAACTTCAAAGTGGTTTGGATTTCCACACTTTCTACATGTTTCACCATATGCAGGACGTCGTTTAAACTCATGAGTTTGGCCACAATATTTACAGTCTTTCACTATCGATTTCTTAATTTCACTTTCGCTTTAAGTCGGTGCTGACCTCCGGCTTGGGGTGTCCTACCTCTCCAGATTCAATGTACCGATTTGTCTTCCATAGATTGTATTTGCTGCTTAGAAATGTCTCATGTACGCGCAAAGTTAATAGCTTTCTCCAAGGTCAAGTCTAAATCTTCAACAATGCTCTTTTTTCACCTATCTTGTGATCCTGGGTACCGAAAACGATAGCGTCCCGAATCTTCCTGATCCTAATAGGCTGAGATCTGACAGAAATTTTTCAAACTTTCTCCTTCCTTCTGTGTCCTACTGGGGAACTTGTATCTCGAATGAACACGATCTGACTTCGGTTTCACGTAGTTTTCAAATTTCTCCCTTATCACTGAGAATTTCTTACTATCTTCCTCTGATAGGTTCCACGTTGAGTACATATCTCCCCCCTTGTCTCCCATCCATATCATCAGGTAATTATAATGTTCCTCTTCCTATTTTTGCTTAATGGGCCCTTTCTCCAGAATTCCACGAGTTGTATAAACATGCGCCATTCCTCAACGAGATCATGGGCCTCCCAGTTAAATTTCGGCGTGACAGCTGGATTCATTGTATCCATCACAATCCTTGAATCATCTTCTGTACAATTGCAACACTTATTTCTGCAGATGGCGATGGAAAAAAGGGAGATTTCAACTCTTTCTGACACCATGTATTGTATTCTTAACTCCATTGTGGGTTAACAACTAATTTTGACTTTCTTTTTCAGGAGAGCTCATTTTCAAAAACCATAACTCTTACTAAATTTAGAACATAAATTACAACGACCCTGTCTGGAACTACACCTTGTTAAATATATTGTTGACTGCCGATTTTAATACAAATTTTAGCCCATTATTTTCATACTGAATTGTCTACGGAGTACTCCATTTATGAATGCAGAGGGCCTACTTGTGTGTGGAAGTATAATTTTGAGTTTAAAGTATATGTACAGATCAACAAATCCAAACATACAATTTCTAAAGACTTCAATAACATATTATCAATAACATATTTGTCTTGAGGCACCGTTCTACAAAACTTCTACCTACCACAATGCATATAGTTTTTTCAAGGATGGTGGGAAAATTCTATGTTTGATGGGACAGTGGGGTTCGAGAAATTCGACAATAGCTAAAACAGTGTATACTTCCCTTACTGGACGGAAACCAATCGAAATTGAGGACATGATGATAGGTCATAACAGTGCTATTTAATTCTGACTTTAAATGAGTAGTTTAAAACACAAAAACACCATCTTATTTGTCAATATTTGTCAATATCCTGCCTCTGTTTAAAAATTGATCGTATTTGAAACATGCTTTTGAGTATCGAATCAATTGGGAGACATAAAAGCCATATGCAGGTAATTCTGGAATATTTCTATATAAGGGGGAAAGTTGAGGATGGAAAAGCAGATGTCATACCGTTTGTCATACAGATTAGTTTCTTAGTAGTCATTTATGTCTGTAATCAGTAAAATATTCAAGTATGACGCTGATGTTGCAGACTCTGTGGTTTTTTATACTTCGACTTCACTTGTAAATATCGAGTTTACATACGATTGAAATAAGTATTGTTAATTAATAAAACGACGTGGATACATTGAATTGAAAAGTTGAATGGGTTTAAGTGACAAACATATAATTATGTATCAAAATGAAATTGGTAATTCATAGCTTTTTTTAAATAAACGAAGGGAAAATACATATCAATTCCTCAAAAAGAATGAATTTCACGTCTTTCGATTTTTAATAATTTCCAGTAATTTGAATATCCTTATTTTTGCCCCTCAATTTATTTTACGTAAAGAATTTGTTCAGTTGTTTGTGTTTTTTCTCTCCTTGAAGTTCTTCTGCTGATGATGGCGGTACCTCATCTCTACCGTGACATATTACAGGCGTGGCAATTGGAGTAATTGCCCTCCTTGTTGTTTTCAGTGTGGTAGCTCTTATCTGTTACAGAAAGAGAAGACGTAAGAACAAGTTTGATCATAAAGGACAAGATAGGTTAAGACCCCTTTTTGGCCCCTGATTTGGGGTGTCTTTTAGAATGATGCAACAGTTTATAAATTAAAACTTGTTGTCACCCCTGCCAAAAAAATTGAGCATTGGTTCTAAGTTATGGGATACACAGAGGTCACAGAGAGCTCAGAAAGTATGTCAATTTCCGAAATTTCTTTTTTTTTATGCAAATTTTCATCGATTTTACAACACATTTTGTGTCAGAAAACATAGAGTACAAGCTTGCCTATCTACCAAAATTATATATATCATACACTAGTATCAAATGCATTTTATGTATAAAAATCTCAGATAGGCAAGCTTGTGCTCTATGTTTTCCAAAGAGAAAAGTATCTCAAATACGAAATTCCACCAGAATTGAGGAAATTTGGGAAAATGTCCTACTTCCACACCCTCTTGTGACCTCGGGAAAATGTTTTACTACTACACCCTCTTGTGACCTCCATGTAAACTCTGAATCAAAATTAGTGCTGGGTTTAAAACAAGCATCATTTTAAGTTCTTAACTACAAACTATCACAGTATTAACTCTGTTCTGATTTTTACATCAAATTAGGGGGCGAGATTCGGTCGTTACCATACCTTGTCCTTTATAACAATATTTGAAATGGATAAAGGAAAGCAAGGTATCATAAACAATTACATACACGTAGTGTCTCAATATATGAAGGCATGCCAAAAAAAAGATAATTTAAAAAAATCTTCTTAAGTTATATACATAGATATGTAATTGTTTTGGTGGTAAATCGTGCAAATTGATATATTTCCGACTTTGAACAATGCTTTCCTCATTTCTTTCTTTTACAATCATACGTGTATGACGATTTTGTTTCTTATAGAAGAGAACTTTTATAAAAGTAATTCAAAAAAACAAAGAGCATAACAGAATTATATTCAGTCTAAGTATGTTTAATTTGAAATTATCTAAAAGAATTTCCATTTTAGAGAAAAGCCCAAAGGGAAAAGATGAACAGATTCCTTTATTAATTAAAGGTATAATTTTGAGTTAAATTGCAATTCAATGAAGCCAAAACAATTTCCAAGTACTTTAATAACATTTTTAATAATAATAATAACATATTTGTCTAGAGACACCGTTCTTCAAAACTTCTACTTTCCACGAGGCAAATAGTTTTCTCAAAGATGGTGGGAAAATTCTATGTTTGATAGGAAAATGGGGTTCCGGGAAATCGACAACAGCTAAAAATGTATACAAGTCCCTCACTGGAAGGCAACCAATTGTAATAGAGGACATACTGAAGTTTGATGTGAGTTCTTGTCAGGATTCTATCATCGTAGAGGAACCATTACCAAGAGAGGATATTTCTGACGAGGAAGAAAATAACCGTGTAGAAAAAATTATTTATTTATGCAAACATATCCTGAAAACAAATCATACATTTATGATTATTACTTCAACTGAAGAAGCTTGGGAAACAATTACAGATGAAGTCAAGAAATGTGACGTTGATGATAATGAATATTGCTGTATTAATCTTAATTGGTGGAATTAATCAGATGGAGATAGGAGTCAAATCTTTCACACCATTTTCCAGTTTTATAATCCAGATAAACCATTCTCTATAGTAGAAGAAAATGTAACAAGATTTCAAATTAATAGTTTGGGATTCCCGGAAACATGTGCATTGTTTTCTAAATGTAGCGAATTTCAGAAATCAAAAGGTGGTGTTTTATTCTTTAATAGACCACTGCGTTATTTAAGTTTATACCTGGAAAAAATGTGTCACACTTCAAGAGAAAAACAAAAATTTCTCGTACTAGTATATATGAGTTTAAATAATATGAAAATAGATATGGACAAATCGAACGACAAGCTTTGGGAAATATTCAGATTATGTGGTCTAAACACTGACAGTGTACGTCTAAAGTCAATTATACCCTCGGAATTAGTCGTAAAAGAAGAGCCGTCAGTCTACGTGTTACAACACGAAGTTATTAAAAGAATAACACTCATAACATTTGGGAAGCTTTATTTCTCAGTTTTACTTCGGTTTTCATCGCGGAAAGATCTGGAAGGCTGGATAAAACACAAGAAGAGAACATTCATAGTAACAGAATTACTGGAGGACGGTAGGAAACAAGCCTCGGATATAGAACCATTTCTTGAAATTAATGATGAGCAATGGACTGAATATCAAGAAAAAATGGGGAAGACAATTCAAGAAAAATGTGAGAACAGTGAATAAATAAAATAGCAAAAATAATACTGACGTCTTAAACATTAATTATTGCTGGAGTGTGGATATATTCTTCATATGCTGGTTATCAGTATCCAAGTGTAAAACAAGGTTATCAAGATTTAATCCGCAGAAAACACCAATCCATAATTTAGGTAAGGCAGTGAATAAAATATCCTTGTAAGAAAGATAATGTTATGCTTTAATGTGTTTATTTCCCTATGTATTTACTTATTGTCACATTCTATATATTACAATTAAATGTATTGAAGAAGTAATCTATAGTTTCTATAGATTTTGGCTTGTGTTTTGGTATGATAATCTATATGTTAGTTGTTTTTATTCAGATTGGATTCTGCAGTTTCATTTCAAAATGGAAAAAGATATTGCAGTATTAGTAAAATCCCAAGCAATTTTAAATTGTCATAATCATTGTCATTAAAAATATGAAAGTAGTTTATTACAATTTTTATAAATACATTATGCAAAGCTTTATTATTCATTATTGCATTATAATATTATGCCATTCTATATTATCATTTTACATTATTGGTTTTTATGATTGGAAAAAGACAGACAAAAGTAGACATCAAGCTAATGATTTCCCACATTTTGCTGATATTAAGTACATTTTCATTATCTAGGTTACAAAGTAAAAATTTCTACATGAATTAAAAATCATATTGAAAAGAGAAGATAGACAAATGGTAGCTTAAAAGAAGACCCTTCTGTTTCATTTTATGAAAAATCATTAACATATAAGTGCCTTTCGTCGAAGAAACGTATAAGATTGGGGGGGGGGGGGGGGGAGGTGTCAAGGAATTTTGCTAAATTAGTATGCTAACATCATCAACAACGTAGATTTTGTTTGCTTCGCTTTAAATGGCAGGGGCATATGGTATGACCCCTTTCCGTTTGTCACTTTGTCACTCAATCTTTGCTTTTCGAACTTTTTTCTGTGCTTGTAGATAATTAGCTGATTTGAAGCACGAGTATTTATATTGACGATTTTAAAGATTAAGTTTAGCTTTCATGTTCATTGAGCCATTTTTTAAGAAAGTTATTTCTCCTATACTAAGATAATTTCTATTTATTTACTGTTTTCCGGATCGATTTTTGCTTTGCTTGTAGAAATGAGCTGAAGTTAAGTATGTGTATTACATTGAAGACTTTTTGTCGAGTTCGTGTCATTTTGATTGACGCATTTTCATGAGAGTTATTAACATCAGTCAAAGAAATTACTACATGTATTTATTAACTTTTTCTTTGAAATTATTTTGCTGTGCTTGTAAACAAAAAAAAAAATACTTATTTACATTGTTCATTGCAGATATACATACATACATGTGCATATAAATGTCTACAAAACTGTATACAATGGGTTTTTTTTACAAACACACCCATTCATACATCCACTTACACTTGAGTTTTTTTTTCTCTTTGTAAACTGATCACTTATAATTCAATTTTAATCTTATTTCCAGGAAAGCTAATGTTCTAAATCTTATATTCACTATTTTCCGGACTTTTTGTAGTTGATCACCAGTTCTACGCATCTACGGTATAGTGTGGTATTGACAACGGATACAAGAAAAACGCAGCAATATCATGCACTTTTGTTTTATTTCCACACTTTTTTATTCTCCTTGGACTTGCACATATTTAGTACTATTGTTAGCCACTGCTTTATGAACTTAGAAACATGCCATTTAATGAATGTGAAAATATTTTTACAATGATGAACAACAGGCATGAGCACGTGTTTGTAATATTATTTTTATTGACCCTTTCAGGATTGTTGAAAAAGAAATGGATTTGTATCTTATTCTAACATTGTCAAGTGACATTTTCTCATAAATTATGAATTTACATCTAGATTATGTCAAACCACAGTATGATATATTCCAATGCAGGATTCAACACGGATACAATTCTGTGACAGATTAAAAATCAAAACCGATAATCAATTTTTTCCTCCCATTTGAGGAATCATTTATAACTTTGTGACGTTATGGAAGCCCATAGAAAATGTAATCTTAATAATTTCTTAATATATATAACTAATATTCACTGTAACAAAAGTAACCGTAAACATAGAAAAAATCAAAACAGAAGTACTAAATACTATCTGGTATGTGACTGATATGATCGTCAGGCTTGGTGTAAAAGAAATGACAATTGTACAAATGCATCCAGACGTTTCTGGACGTAAAAATTGGTAAATGTTAAAAAAAATTTACATCTTCAACCTGAAATGCTAGGAACTATTGTGTTCAATTTTAAAAGATGTTCTAATTTTGAGGACAATAATTGCAAAAGAGAAATTTCCACCTTGGTCCAAAACTGTAATAAATAAAAAAAAATCACTCTTTAGAATCAGGTCCCAACACATTTAAAAATATACATGATATAAGCAATTACTATTTCGTTTTTGTTTTCATATAATCTTCATGTATGCCTTTGCGCTTTCGAGTTTTATCCGGAATATGTAATATTCTTTATGTCTCTGTTGCTGTGCACCTTTATAAACTCTGAACAAATAATTGAGATACCCATTTGTTCTTAACAATTTTATTCAGTGTATTTATGAGACTTCACAAATGAGCATGATTTCATATTTAATTATATATTTGTTTAATTATCAAACCAATGCATCAACTCCTCTTCCTCACTTGTACCAGGCTAGGGGCGTCATGTGTAGAATGCAAGATCTGTTTTTAATTACTAGGCAGTAGTGTAATCAGACGGTAAGACTCTGCCTATCTTAATTATTAATAGGTAAAATACTTGTATAAACTTTTTACTTGAACATCATTGATTATGTAGTTTGATTAAATTTTGTACTGATTAATTTCGTATGAAACCACAATGATATTTCCCCTACTCTGCATCACTGGACTTTCTTAACGTCACATAGATTCAAGCTGCTGCAATTTGTGTCATTTGGGGACAAATTGGGAATTTGATTATATCAAATCACAAACTTTTATAATTAGCCAAATTATGTGTGATTAGATACAAAACTTATTGTATATTTTGGTCCAAATTGACCTGTTTAAGACTGAAAAAAAAAAAATTTATATATATATATATATATATATATATATATATATATATATATATATATATATATATATATATATATATATATATATATATATATATATATATATATATATATATATATACATACATACATATATATATATATATATATATATATATATATATATATATATATATATATATATATATATATATATATATATATATATATATATATATATATATATATATATATATATATATATACATACATATATATATATATATATATATATATATATATATATATATATATATATATATATATACATATATATATATATATATATATATATATATATATATATATATATATATATATATATATATATATATATATATATATATATATATATATATATATATATATATATATATATATATATATATATATATATATATATATATATATATATATATATATATATATACATACATATATATATATATATATATATATATATATATATATATATATATATATATATATATATATATATATATATATATATATATATATATATATATATATATATATATATATATATATATATATATATATATACAGCACATTTTACAACAACTCTGAAACTAACATAACTGCCCTAAGTGAAGAAATATTAATATAGAAAGCACAAGGAAATTCACTTTTATAAGGATACCCACTTCCGCCCCAACCCGGGGTTGAACTCTCTACCTACGGAATCTGTCTCCTAGCAGTAAAGGAACAGCACGCTAGACCGCTCGGCCATTTAGGCAAGTTAAAAAACTTGCTTTCGATGCCGATGGAATTCTCGCGGCGCTATCCTACACTACACGGTCATTGAGAATGGAAGTGAGATACAGTTATTTGGACATTAGTTTTATTAGAGGATCGTTACCGATACACATTGTAATGAATTAATTTTATTTATACAGCACATTTTACAACAACTCTGACCGTGTAGTGTAGGACAGCGCCGCGAGAATTCCATCGGCATCGAAAGCAAGTTTTTTAACTTGCCTAGATGGCCGAGCGGTCTAGCGTACTGTTCTTGTACTGCTAGGAGACAGATTCCGTAGGTCGAGAGTTCAACCCCGGGTTGGGGCAGAAGTGGGTATCCTTATAAAAGTGAATTTCCTTGTGCTTTCTATATATATATATATATATATATATATATATATATATATATATATATATATATATATATATATATATATATATATATATATATATATCAGATTCCCTATAAACAACAAGATATATAATTATACTTGTTTATTGTGGCGCTTCTGGCCGCGGTGATTCATTTCAGGGGTTACCACAGGGCTACCCCTCAATAACAATAAACAATCAATACAAAATATGTGACGGCCCCAAATTGGGCGGATCCTGCACTGGGTAGGTCACAAGTGCATGGACGTCACCAATACAATAATAATTCATAGTCAATTACCCTTAAATGCCCAAGTCAAATTATAATTAAATGCCCAATAGTCAATTAGCAATCAATATTGAATAATCAATTTCAATTCAATGTACAAACTCAACAATTCAAACTTCAATATCAAAATAATCAAATGTAATGAGCTTAATGTGTTGCACTCCTACAATTGCGTTGAGGTGCGACGGAATACGCCACTTGCAAGGGCCATAACCATTTGTGTGCTGGCCTAAGCCTATCACAAAAGGTTATGGCACTGCAACCGCCACAAATGGGGTGCCAAGAACCATAGTGGCGGCGGCAGTACCCCAACGCAATTGGTCACCACGACCAGGGCCCGCTCATTTAGCCGGGAATGCATTACCCTGACCAGACCTAATATGCTCAATTGCTCCCTGATAATTGTTCAACAATAAGTCGTTCCCCAATTGTGATAAATGAACCCCATCGTCATGAAACAAACTCCTATGCTTACTCTCAAACTGTACATGCTTAATGTATGCCCCACCCTGTGCTGTAACCACCCTAATAGCTTCCCTGTTCATTCTAGTTCTTGCATTTTCCTTGCATTTTCCATGGCTTTTACATTGTTAGAATAACGCCATATAAACCTGGGGAGCATACCTGACCAGACTATTTTTGCATTTGGGAATAGTTTTGATACCTTTAATAGCGTTTCTTTCAGCTGTTGCAACAAGTCTTTCAACTTTAATAGGCCAAGATTGTTTGCCCCACAGTGAATAATAACAAGATTGGGTTCATCTTCTAATCTCTGCAGAAGCTTCAGTTTAGGGATCAGCTGACTCAAGATCAAACCCCCATAGGCCTGCCACCATATGCATGTATTTGGTACATTAAGATTGTGACCCCCTGTTCTTGATCTTGATGCTAAAAAAGCTCTCTTGACAATGGATGATCCCACGATCCAAACTTTATAATAGCCTAAATTAAAAACTAGATGCATGTTAGTATTTGACATGATTAGCGAACGTATGAACAATATGCATTAGATCGCCATCTCCCTGAATTTTGAATAACTTCTCTTGATGCCCCTTGTTGAGCAAGCGTTGTTGCCGCTCCAATGCGGAACGAATGTGATTTATAATTTCTACTATCAATGATGGAAATATTTAAAGCTTTACTTAACACTGAACTAAATTGATAACGACTCATGGGTTTTCCTGAAAAATGACAGAAAAGTGGGCCCGTAACAGTTGGACGCCCGAGTAAGTATCCTTGCATAGCTCTAACTGGACACATTTCCCCTTGCGATGCCTGAACGCTTAATGTCACCCCTTTACCCATCTGATCTATTTTCGAATGTTTGATACTAATTAATTGTCAATTTACTGGCAAATAATGAAACATCTTCCACTTGTAATATGGTTTTAACTGTATTGCCCTTCGATAAGGCAATTTCACCTTTTCTTAGGAATGCATGCATGAAACGCAAGCAAGAAAGCTGCCTTATATAAAGCGGCTTCGTAGGAGCTGCTACAGATTACCTGAAGTTTAGGTATTATGACAAACAAGATATCCAATGTAATTGGTAAACGACTATCCCCACCCGGATTTGATCTTTTCATGCCCTGTAAAAGTTTTTTCACCACAAAGGTCTTTGTTGGGTCATTAATGCCTTTACTTTTACAATAAAAGATAATTGCAGTAATATATGACTTGGCTGTCGAATGTTTGTAACCCCCTTAATGATAGTTGGGCAATGAACATATTAATGTGCGTATCTGGTGGCGGCCAAGTGAGCGACCATCCTTGTGTCTCGCGAAAATGGTCAAAGTTTTGAATCCCAACTGTGTATGCTAGTGCAATATTTAAGGACATAGATGCGTTGAACAAGCGCTCTACTTCAACTAAGAGAGTAATATCTGGAATGGCTCCGGGATGGTCTGCGGGCTCTGGGTCCGCTGCTGGTGCAAGGCGCCTGAAAACCTCCCACTTTTTGCGGGATATAGAATCAGCAATACAATTACTTTTACCTGGTATGTGATTGGCTTTAAATTGTATATTATATCTTAACAATGCTAGCATTAGTGGCCTAACTAATGACATAATTCTTTCAGACTGCGATGAT